AAATTGATGACCCTGGTGATGTTGCTGATGATGAAGTGATGGTATTATGATGATAATAACTATGATGATGATGATGGGGATGGTGTCCCGATGATGGTGATGAGGTTGATGATGAAGCTGTTGATGATGATGGTGATGATGTTGACGGTTTCCCGATGATAATGATGATGTTGGTGTTGATGACGATGATGGTGTTCGGTGATGATGGGGATGATGTTGGGGATGAAAATGATGATGGGGTGATGGTGGTTTTGATGATCGTGGCCCGATGAAGCTGATGTGACTGATGTTGATGATGGTGGTGGCCCGATGATGATGATGGTGGTGACCATGGTGGTGGTGTCCCGATGATGATCAGGTTGGTGATGATGATGATGGTGTTCCGATGAGGATGATGATGATGATAAAGGTGATTGTGTTGACGATGTTGTTCATGATGATGGCATGATGATGGTGGTGGTGTTCCGATGATGATGATGATGATGGTGTCCCGATGATGATGATGTTGATGAAGATGATGTTGACGATGATGGTGTCCCGATGGTGATGATGATGGTGGTGATGATGATGTTGATGGTGCTGGTGATGAGATGATGATGTGAGTGATGGTGTCCCGATGATGATGATGATGATGATGATGACGTTGGTGACGGTGATGTCGATGACGATGACGACGTTGAGTGTGAGATCGGTTGTGGTATCGATAGTGATATCGATAGTGGGACCGAATGTGAGATATCATATTGAGGGGGCCGAACGGTCATTCACTGTCCCTGAGTGCGTGGCTGAAGTGGAATTCCGCGGTGCGGATTCTCGTTGTTGTTGTTGTTGTTGTTGTTGGTTGTTGTTGTTGTTTGTTGTTGTTTGTTGTTGTTGTTTGTTGTCGTCGTCCCGCCCGCAACCCGCCCCGCGACCCACCCGCGACCCACCCCGCGACCCACCCCGCGACCCACCCGCGCCCCACCCGCGACCCACCCGCAACCCACCCCGCGACCCACCCTGCAATCCACCCCGCGACCCACCCCGCGACCCACCCCGCGACCCACCCCGCAACCCGCCCGCGGCCCCCCCCGCGGCCCACCCCGCGACCCGCCCGCGACCCACCCGCGACCCAAACCACGTTCAAGGTACAAACCACCATTTTCGGCGCCTGCGGCGGTTTTTTTTTGCATTCCTTCCAGGTGGAGAGCCCGACCCACCCCGTGACCAACTCGCGACCAACCCGCGACCCAAACCGCGTCCAGGGTTCAAGCCACATTTTTCGGCCCCTGCGGCGGGCATTCGTTGCATTCGTTTCAAGTGGAGAGCCCGCGGCCCACCCGCGACCGCGTTCAGGGTACAAACCATATTTTTCGGCGCCTGCGGCCGGCATCTTTTGCATTCGTTCCGGGTGGAGAACCCGCGGCCCACCCGCGACCCAAACCACGTTCAGTGTACAAACCAATTGTTTTGGCGCCTGCGGCGGGCTGCTTTTGCATTCCTTCCAGGTGGCGGTGGAGAGCCCGCGACCCACCCGCGACCTAAACCACGTTCACTGAACAAACCAAGGCCGCACAAGCGCGGCGGCGGATTTTTGCATGCCGTCTGAACCCGCAAGGACCTCTTCAAGCCCCGCGCATCCACACCAGCCCGTCCAGCAACTCTGCCCTGGCGAATTGCCTTGATCAGAGAAGGCGGGGAGCATAAAGTAGAACATCAGGGTTGCGTTGCAGTTATCTTGGGAAAAGGAGGGGGAGACAGGTGGAGTAAACAGGGGACGAGGAGAACGCGGAAGAAGAGAGGATGTAAGGATAATGTGGAGAAAGAAAAGGAAGAGGAGCAGGAGGACGAGGAGGGGGAGGAGGGGGATGGGGAGCAGGGGGAGGAGGAGGGGGAGGAGGGGGAGGATGATGATGATGGACGACAATGAGAGGACGACGATGGAGGCCGATGAGGAGGAGGACGACAATGGGAGGACGATGATGAAAGGACGAGGGGGGGAGAGGGAGGACGAGGAAGAAGAGGAGGAGGACGAGGTGGAGGAGGAGGATGACGATGACGATGAAGACGAGGACGAGGAAGAGGAGGAGAAGGAGGAGGAGGAGGAGGAGGAGGAGGAGAGCGCCATCGACAGGGAACGTGGGGGCCACGAGGTCCGCCGGCTCGACGACGCCCGCGTCGCCCGCGCCCGCCCCCTCACTCTTATCCGCAATTGCGGGGTGCTACGTACCGTTCTTCGCTCGCTGAGTAAAGCTTCATCCCACGGCAACGATCCCTCATATACAAAGGGACTGCGCTTCCGTGGCCACCAGCGCAAGGATCCGTTGCGCAACGTCTCCCCAGGCCAATCCTGTGGCGTAGGGTTCTCGTTTTCCATCTGCCGCGTCGCAGGTCTCTTCCTGCCCGCCGCCCGTCCCCTCCTCCCCTTCCTGCCATTGCTGCTGCGGCTGCCAGCCGCGACTGGTACTGCCCTAACACGGCCAACGAGATACTCAGTATGGCCCTGGCGAGTCCAGGGCCCCCCAAATCATGCCCAACCTGCCAGACACATATGACCTCAGGAAGCCCCAAGACGTCCCCTCCCCAACGTTTCCCCCGCTGGCTTCCCAAACGGCTGGGGGAACACGCAGTCCACTAGCGCGGCCGCACGTTCGGTCAGCACGCCACGACACGGGCACCTCCAAAAGGCAGGGAGCGGCGGCGACTCGCCGCAGGCGTCTCCGATGTGAAAAATTGCGCCGCACAGGGGTGATACGAACGCATGCCAAGGCGGCATGCTCAGTCAGCTGTGATTGACACAGGCTACTGGTGGCCATGCCGTATAAGGTATGGTTTGCGATGGCAACGCGCTGTACCTTCACTGGTCACTCGACTTGCCGACTTGCGGCGGAGAGCCTGAAGGCAGAACTACAGCCACGCAAACGTTTCTGTTACAGAGCCAGGTGTCCACCCACGCCCACGCCAACAACGCGTCGGCACATAATTTCAGCGCGGAAGAGCAGCAAAGGCAGGGTGGGCGGGAAAACGACGCGATTCGATCGTGTCCAGCAGCAACAATCCACCACGGCAGCTAGACATGGAGAAAGGGATGTAAGTGAGGCAGGGGGACATCGACCGGGATTATGTGGTATGTCGCTATTGGATCGGCGCAAGGCCCGTGATAGCAAAGCTGTCCGCTCCTAGGAAGAGTTGGGCACTCAAGCGTAGATCGGCGTAATATCTCCCCAACCCCACAATCCCGAAACCAACCCCCCCTTTCGCCCCTCCCACCGAAGGCGGGGGGGGGAAAGACCCGGAGCAGGGAAGAGGGAACGGAAAGGTGAGCTAGAATCAAGTCGGGCACGTCCCCCTACAGGGGGAATGTTCAAGAATAGTCAAAAATAAGGGTTTCGTCGAGAATCCCCATGTAGAGGGACAGACCCGACTTAAATAGGGGGCAAACAAACCTACCTCGCTTTTGACCACCCTCGCTTCCAAGAGATACCAAGCGATTGCCAAACTACGGCCTGTACTGGTCAGGCCGCTTGACAAGGAGGCGCGTGGTATGACTCGGTTTTGCCTGAAAGCGAAAGCGAGGTAGGTAATTCACGCTCTGATTCAAGCCAGAACCGCCCCCCCAAAAAAGACAGCCCCTCCAGGACTGCCCGAGGTGGGGGGGCCCTCGGCCCGTCCCTCCCCCGCACCTGCCCGGCCAGGCGGACGGACAAATGGAGCGCCCACACGGTCCCGATCCGGACGGGCTCCGAACCGCCATCGTGCCGCGACGTCCGGGCCGCACCTCGGCCCGCAGCTCGCGCCCTGGTCCAGAGTCTCTCTCGCGGAGGCGAGGGGCTCGACTCGGGCCGGGCGAAAGGGGGGGATAGCAAAGGGGGGGTTTGAGGATCAGCTCACGTAGCTGATTTTCCCTCTCCCCCCTTCCGTTCGGCCCGATCCACGGGAGGAGGAAAGGGCGCTGCCGGAAGCAGAAGAGCAGCCACAGCCAGCCGGAGCTGCCGGAATTCGCGACGCGGATGCCTCGGGTCGGCGCCGGCCGCCCCCCCAGGACGCGCGGAGCGCGTCAGGGGCCACGACCGACCCAAGACACCCGCGCGGACCTCCAACGTTGACGCTCTTGTGAGGATCCGCGCGCCAGAGGCGCCGCCAGGGAGGCCCAGCGCGGATCCAAGAAATCCGCGCGGAGCGCCAACAGTTTATGATCATGGCGTTTTTGTTCCTCTTCGACCTGTGGCTGCTGCTTCCCTTCGAGAACTTCGACCGCGCGCCCAATCGCCTCGGCCTCGGCGGCGGTGGCGAAGGGCGCCCTGGGCCGCCACCCCCCCGAGTCGCCGCGCTGACGGGGGGCGCCACCGCCCCCCTGGGGGGAATCCCATACGGTCGAGGCCGGTCCACAAGAAGCCTTCCACAAGAAGCCCGACCCTGAGACCCCAGGACGTCGATGGATTTCTGGCGTGGGAGCGTCACGCTCTCCACGGCAAGAACGTCGACACCCAAGAAACCCCGGACACCCTGGAGGCAAGCAGGGTGCTTCCTTGCATGGGCCCCCAATGCAAGAGGTGCCGGCACACCGCTCTGCTCCCCGACCTCTGCCGGGGGGCGCTCGGGCCGGAATCCCGAGGCGAAGCCAGCGGTGGCGACGAGGGCCGCCCAGGAGGCCTCACAAGGGCCACAAGGAGAACAACAAAACGAGGGGGGGAGTATCTGGAGGCCTCCTAGATGGGGTCGGAGTAGATGGGGTCGGAGGATCGCGCCGCATCGCCGATGCAACGGTGATGCACTGGCGATGCATCGTCGACGTCTTCGATGCATCGGCGGCGTCGACATGAAGCAAATCGGGCTCCACGTCGACGAGCCGCATCGCCGATGCAGCGGCGAGGCGGCGCGACTCTCCGACCCCATCTGCTCCGACCCTATCTTGGAGGCCTGGGAGCAAAAATCGGCACCGCTTCCTCCTCTGGCACTCACCGTGGCCGAGCCACCCCTCGGCTCCGCGGATGGACGGGGAGGCGGGGGCGATGCTTGGCTCAGCGGATGGACTCAGCGGATGGACGGGGGCCTAGCCGCGGCGGGGGCTCCTCGGCGAGGGCTCCGGGCTGCGCGCAGACAGCCCCTCGAGGAGGCGGCGGTAGGCCTCGGCAGGCCCCGCGGGAGTAGCCCCGGGAGGTCTCGATCTAATACCGTGCGCCACAGCACGGGAGAGCGCGTTTTGCGTGGGCTGTGCCTTTTGCCACGCCCTCCTGCTCCCCGCGTTTTTCGCTGGCACCGAGCCAGGCACATGCGCGAGCAAATGTTGGATTGCCGGACGTCCAGACTTTCCTCCTGGGCAAGCCGGCTCGCAAGGGCCTGCTGAGCAAAACATGGCACGCCCCCAGAGGCGCCACGTCGGGACGTCGGGACCAATACGCTTGCGGGGCCTGCTGGGGACAGCCGGACTGCACACCTCCTGGGGCGGTCTGTGCGAGCCACTGAGCCTCTCCCTTGCCATCTCGCTCAGACGCCCACTCCCCGTGCACTCATCGGTCTCTTGCGCGCGCATCATTTTTGTTGCTCGATGATCCGGGAGGCTCCTCGATGGCTCTCGCCGAGTGCACGGTTTCTCCTGGGGTCGTAGGCGACCCGAGGAGGAGGAGGAGGCGGAGGAGGAGGAGGAGGAGGAGGAGGAGGAGGAGGAGAGGGAAAAGAAGTGAGGGAGGAGGAGGAGGAGGAGGAGGAGGAGGATGAGGAGGAGGAGGAGGAGGATGAGGAGGACGAGGAGGAGGACGAGGAGGACGGGTCGCCCAAGCCCGTCGGAGAAACCCTCCATCGCCGAGAAAAACAGAGGCACACGTCCGAGCGATGTCAATAGCTCCATAGGGCTCCTCCTGCAGCCGAGGCACGCCGGGGGGCCGCTGCTCCTCGACGGCCCCCGGCGGCGGCGGCAGCGGCGGCGCCTCCTCGGGCGGCCGCAGCGCGACGACGGCGACGCCCTCCGCGGCGGGCTCCGTGGGCGACCCCGGCGTGTCAGTGGGCGTCCACCCCGAGGCGAAGTCGACGACGTTCCCGGAGGCGGTGGAGGGGCAGGCGGAGAGCTCCACCGAGGCGGCGCGCCCCCGCAGCGCCTTCGCGGAGCCCTGGCCCCGCGGAGGCGGCGCCGCGTGCTGCGGGCCGGCGGCCGCGAGGATCGGCGGCGACGGCGCCCTGCCCGAGTGCGCGGTGCTCTTCGAGGCGGCGCGCGTGCTGCCGCGGCGGGAGGGCGGGGCGGCGCATGGGGAGCCCAGCGAGGCGATCCACTTGTTCAGGGCCGACCTCCCGACCATGCTGCTGTAGAACTTGAGGTCGTCGGGCGGCATCCAGGCGTAGACGTTGTTCGCGCAGAGGCCCTCCTGCATCCTGTAGACCGCGATGTTCGGGACGGATGGCCTGGACGAGCCGCCCTGGCCCTCTCCACCAGAGGGGGGGTCCCCCGCCTCCACGGGGGCGTAGGGCTGAAGGGCTGCACCAGGGACGAACGGCTGCTCCAGAGAGGCTGTGTAGGTTGTGCGCAAATACTTTGTGGGCGTCCCGTACGTTGGGGAGTCCTTGAGGTCTACTTGCCGATGGAGGTCAGACCTCTTGATTTGGACCGCTGGGACCAACGGAGAGAGGTCCGTCAGCAGCCGCTGGATGGCCTCGCTCGGCGACTCGCTGCCCTTCTGCTTCACACCTGGCAGTTGGCACACTGGGGCGAATGTGTCTTCTACAGTCTTGGCGATCTGTACTAGGACGTTCCCTGCGGTGTCGTTCAGCTGCAGCACCGTGACGGCAACGGCCCGCTCAACCTCTCCGTCGCCATTCATTACCACGCATGACCGTCCATCGTCCACCTCCTCCACCAATCTCGCGACCTTCCTCATGTCTACGTGCCCTCGCGCCTTCACCTCTGCGACCACAACATGGCCAATCATTCTCCGCGTCTCGTGGTTCATGGTGAACACCAATTCGTCGTAGGACGCGCTCGGGACGTGGATGTCGGTTGTCCGCTCGTTCGCATTCGTCGCGGACACGGCGCGCTTGTGAAACTCTCTGCCGTACTCAATGAAGATGTCCTTGATGAGCGCGTGCCTCAGCGCGATGCTCAGGGTCTTGGCCGCATTGATCACCAGCAGCTCGCACGCGTCAAACGCCAGTGCGGTTCCGAAGTGGGTCCACTGCGTCCACAACGCAATCTCACAAAGCCACTGCGGCGAGAAGTTCGACGAGACGGTCTCCATCACCTCCTGCTCCTCCTCGACTTCTTCCACCTCCAGCTCCTCTGGGTCGGGGTCGTGCTTCTCGGGCGGGGTGTACTTGTACTTGAGCGTGCCGGCGGTGAGCAGGAACATGCTGTTCGCGAAGGTGCCCGCCTCGAAGAGGACGTCGCCGAGCGACATCTCCTTCGTGTCCACGGCCTCCCCGCACATGCGCGAAAGGAGATCGGGGGCGATGCTTTGGCAGAGGCGGAACAGGGGATACCCGACCATCTCAGGCCCAAAGATCTCAGACCTCAGCGTCCACCGCAACGAGTTGGAGAGCAGCGAAAGAGCGAAGACGTCCTTGTCCGTCAAGCGCTTCTTCTTGGACATTCGCTCCGCGACCTGCTTCTGTACCCGCACTGCCGTCTCCGCACTGATGCTCTGCTCGCTCAGGAACTGGCGCAGCTCTCGCAGTCTCCCCGCCGACTCCTCGTTTCTGAGCTTGATCTGCATCATCGTCGTCGAGAGGGCGCCCACCAGCGAGCTTACGAAGAGCATGCCGAACAGTAGCGTGAAAATATTGAACAGTCGCTCAAGTGTGCTCAAGGGCGACACACCTTATTGGGCCTCGTCAAAGATTAGGCCCCACCCACCGCTTATGAGAACAATTATGTGATAATGTTTGCGGTGTCGGCGCTTCTGTTCCACTAATCGGACTACTGATTGGACTCCGATGGTGCTCTGCCTCGACACTGCATCACGTCTTATACATGTTTCTCCCTCACTAGGACCCTGATGGGACTTTCTTTTTTCGAACACTTCCATTACACGGCGTGTCCACTACATTTCGGGACATCGACAGGACCCCTGATAGAACGCCGTCCTGGCCCTGGATCCCCTCGAGGCTATTTCGCGGTTCCTTCAGGTGGCGCCCCACCCCGCCCCTGCCGACACGATCGCGCTGCTCGCATGATGCCGACACGCTATAATCGGGCGTTGGCAGAACTGCGTTCAGTGGAACCTCGTTTAGTGATCTGTACCGGGGGCGCCCCCCCGTCCAATTTCCACCAACCGGAACTGCCGTCACCCGAAAAAACACCAGCTATGGCAAACCTGGTTTAGTGATTCTGGCTAATTCAAAGGCTCCGGGGCCCTACCTCTAACCGGGTCCCCTTACCTGGGGTCCTGGCCATGCCCGATATAACAAGGTAACATTCCTTGCCAGCTCCTGGGACGGCTGAGCGCCGCACCCTCCAATCCGCCCGCGAACAGCTGCGCGATGGAGAAGTGGAAGGCCGTGAAGTACTGGTAGACGGCGTTGGTCTTCTGGAACTGGCCTTCTTCGGCTCCGGGGGTCTGCAGACTGTCGAACCAACGCTCTCCTGTGTCGCTAGGTGTCCACAGAGCGATCGCGTACCAGGCGCACGAGAGCATGTGGTTCATCCACACCACCGCGTACACCAACTGCGCCCCCTGCATTACCATGCTCCACTTGTCTGACAAGCTCCGCTGCACTAGCCCAGTGGAGATCGACCATAGCCGGTGGACCCTGACCAAGTCCAGCATCCTGAGCACACCGGCGCTTCCTTCCAGGCCGCCCAGTGCGAGGCTCAGGCTCGCCACGTCGCAGACCAGAGGCAAGGCGTTGAGGAGGAACGTCGTCCGGACGTAGTGCCGGCGGATCTGCTTCCGACGCATCTCTAGCTCCCCGTTCCGGTAGAAGCCCGTGAAGAGTCCCAGGACCAGGTCGAGAAGCCAGAATCCCGCCACGATCCAGGCGACCACCTGGAGAAGCAGGAAATGGTGGGCACACAGACGGTCGGAGTGCCGCGCAGATTCGTCGGCTCACCCCCGACCGTGGAGCCCCCCACGGCGGCTGCGCCGACGTCCAGGCCGAGCGAGTCAAGGACACAGCCGAGGGGGGCGCGGGCCCCTGACCCGAGGCCCCTTTCTCGAGAGCAGGCTCCCTCAGAAGGACGCTGCTCGAGGCACTCCTGAAGTCCTTCTTGGAGCTGCTCTGCGCGGTGCTGGAGCCCATCGGAAGCGAAAAGGCGGCAGTACCAGTATCACTGCAAACAAAAAGCTTGGGCTTTGGACTGTGTTGGCCTCTCAGGGGTCGGGCTCCCACTTCTCACACTCCAGCGTCAGTGGCCGATGGAGGGGGCCGAGGACCTCCTTGCAGTCCCTCGGCGAACGAAGACGACTGCAAAGAGGAGTACAACGTACCTCCGCCCTCATACACCATGCACCAATCCCTCGTATTCCTCCTACTCCTCCCAGCCGCCAAACCAATGGTCACTCGCCCATATTCACTTGCGCCAACCAATGCACGATGCACCAATTCCCCAGATTCCTCCCAGCGCAAGGGGCGAGCAACGGGCGGAGCGCCGCCCGAGCGTTCCTGCACGCTCCCAAGCGCTCCCGCGCGCTCCCGGGCACTCCCAGAGGGCTTGCAAGCCAGGCGCACCCATCGGGCCGGACGAAAGGGAAACCATAGCATGGGGGGGTTTAGCGAATCGGCTCACGTAGCTGAGTTTCCTGGTGCCTTCTGGCGCCAGAGGCGCCCACAGGCAAGCGCAAGGGTGCCAGGGCCGAAACCAGCTGCATGCAGCAGATGTCGTATCGCCCCCATCCCCATTTCCCCCCCAATCGTCCGGCCCGAACCCAGGGGCACTCGCCGGGACCTCCGAGAGGGCTGCGTTCACGGCGTTTTTCCCCAGGAAGGCTTGCCTAAGGGGTTCTTACGTGGTTAAAGGTTGGTGCATCGGGGGGGACTTTGCCCGTTGCTCGGAGGTTCCTCGGGTTCCCTGCGGAATGTTCCTTTGCCCGTTGCCCAAAGGTTCCTCGGGTTCCTCGGATTCCCCGGCTTCCTCGGGTTCCCCGGCTTCCTCGGGTTCCCCGGCTTCCTCGGGTTCCCCGGCTTCCTCGGCAATGCCAAGCGAGGCTAAGCGATGCCAAGCGATGCCAAGCGATGCCAAGCAGTGCCAAGCGATGCCCATGCCAAGCGATGCGCCCAACGATGCGCCCATGCAGTAGGCTATGATTATCCCCCCAAAGGGAGGTCGCGCCGTGCTCGCTTTGGGGTGGCTCGGGCCACCAAAAGCGGCCCCTCGAACCGCACGTCCCACGCCAGCGCGTACGGGACCTCGCGGGCGAGGCAGGATGGGCCTGTTTTCCACCGCCGCCATAAGCTGGAGGGGGAGGGGGTCCTCCTCGACCTCCTCCTCCTCCTCCTCCTCCTCCTCCTCCTCCTCCTTCTTCACCCCTCCAACTTATGGTGGTGGTGGTGGAAAGCAGGCCCATCAAGACACATGTCCACACCCACGGCCTCGCGGCCCGGACCCTGCGGCCGCGACACTGCGGATGCAGAGCGGCCGCGCGCGGATGCCCCGAGCGGAACGCTTCCATCGGACCGCGCACCCGTGGGAAATCCGGCCTGCGCGTCCGGACCGGGAGCGCACGGGTCAAGTGGACATGCGGGCCGCTCGTATAAGTCAGGGGGGCGTAAGACCCGGGTACAGGGGACTCGGAAATCCCCGACGACGAGGTCGTCAAAAAATGACGAGGCCGAGCCTGCATTTTGACGAGGCCTCCCGCTGCAGACATCCCACGAAACTCCTCCTCGTCAAAATCCGAGTCGCGGTCGTCAAAAAACGATGGCGAACCCGAGTCCTGGCAAACCCAGGTCTTATGCTCCCCCGAATACGGACCAGCAGGAGGTCGAACTGCAGCACCACCATCGCCAACAGGTCGAAGACCACGCGCTTGGGGCTCTCCGGGTGCATCACCAGCGCCTGCCGGGGCTGAACCTACACGTTGCTTCTTGCTCGTCCCGCCCTCGTGCTGTGCTTCGTGCTGCTCTGCCTGTTTTCTCGTGTACCTCCCTGCCCAAAACGGAACACAGAACACAACCGACGTCCCCAGACTCCCGACGTCGTGATTTTTTCATGACGTCGACCCCAAGAGGTCTGGACCCCTTCCCCGGGACCAGTCTTTCATCCTGAGTCGTTTTTTGCCGATCCCAAGGCCCGGCGAGGGCCCCTAGAGGCCGAAAATTGCCAAAAACCTCCGTCTTGATATTTTCCATGCGTTGAAAATCTGGGTCCAGCAGAGCAGCGTTGAGGCCCCGCCCTGGTGCCTGCGGCGACGCCCCGCTCGGCGTCTCGCCGAAGAACGCCGTGCCGCCGGGGCCGCCGGCAGCCCGGGTGCCTCTCCTCCTGGGGGCAGGCGCACAACTCGGGCAAGAGTCGGGGAAACGTAAGACTCGAGTAAGCCAGAACTCGGGTTTGCCGACGTTTTTTGACGAGCACGTCTTGGATTTTGGCGGTCCAGTTTTCGTTGGATGTTTGCAGCGGGAGCTCGCGTCAAATTTCAGATTGGGTCTCGTCATTTGCATGATGGCCCCGTCAGGCTTACCCGAGTCCCCCCTACCCGAGTCTTACGTCTCCTCGAAAGAGGGCGAGGGGGGGGGGGGGCGGCCTGCCGTGGGATGCGCGGGGGGGGGCTTCCTGAAAGGCGCCCCGACACTGACTACCTACCAGACCACCCCAACCCAACCCGAAGACCAGAATTTGACCCGAATTTCGGGTTTGGAGGGGGGGTACGGTTTCCATGTGTTTTTTTCGATGTTCCCCGACCCCCCCCACTGGAAATCGAGGACAAATTTGGGCCTTCGGGTTGTGTTGGGGTGGTTTGGTGGGTGGTGAGACACGCAGAGTCGTGCAGAGAAGGCACCCGGAGAGGGAGCGTTGAGCGGGGCAGAGCTGTGCAGCAAATGCGCCCCATAAGGGGCGTGTGGTGAGCGCCGGCTGGCGGGTCCGGGGGGTGTCTGCTGCTCCCTTGGCCAGAGGCGTTCGAGAAGACACCTGAGAATGCAGGCGCCAGATGCCCGTTCTGGGGACCTGCCCGGAGCCACTCGCGCTGCTCGTGCGTCGATGCTGCGTCGAGCGCCCGTCGACTGGAGCCGAACCTGGGCCGAGCTCGAGCCGAGCCAGACTCGAGCTGGAGTCGAACATCCGTTCGGCAGCCCCAGGAATCGGCTGTGGATAAGCCTCCCTTTAGTACACCTCCCCTTGGTGAAAACTGCCTATAGGACCGAAACCGACAGACCCTGCACCCGCAAAAAACGACGGCCGCGACGACCTCTCGCGAACCGAAAACGACAACTTCCTTCATCGACTTGTCGGGGTAATGCGGGATGACGATTAATAAAAAATGGGAGGGAACGATTAAAAAAACATAGTTGTCTGCTATTTCTGCATAATTTTCGGACTGGAGGAGAATGATTAAAAAGAATAGTGGTCTAGCCCGCGGCCGGTTTTCTCTCATCGTCATCCCGGGCGCCGCCGCGTGAACACGACCCCCGGTCATTTATCAATCGTCATCCTCCATTAGGAGGTCTATCCCTCTCCGAAGGAAGGCCCCCGAAGCGAGCATCTGACGGCAGGGCCTCTATGTGCCCCCCCGCCGTGCCCGCCCAGAGAAAAGCCAGTCCCCACCCGCGCCCGCACCCTTTCTGAACGCCCCGCCGGCCTGAGCTTGGCCCCGGCCTCGTCCGCCTCGGGTGGACGCTGCTTCCCACCGCCGCCGCCGCCGCCCAGGGTTGGCGGTGCGCAGAGGGGGGTGAAGGGAGGGGGGAGGGCTTCTTAGAAGGAGGCTGCTTCTTAGAAGGCGCCGGCCTTACCTCTGTAGAGAAGGCCCGGGCTTCTAAGAAGCAGGGGTGCTTCTAAGAAGCCCTCCCCCTCCCCCCACCCCCCTCTGCGCGTGGCTGACAGGGGCCGCCGACGCATGGCGTGGCACGTGCTCTGTGGGGGGGACGGCCGGCGCCGCGCCCATGCCAGGCTCTATGCCACGGGTCGGCGGCCGAGACCTCCATATCACGTCGCGACTTGTCCGCAGCGTGGACCCCAGGAGGTCTCGACCCCGTTCCGCTGCGACCGGCTGCTCGCCCCCCGGGGGGCCGACGACCTGCCGATCGCTCGGACGTCCATCCCTCCTGCTCTGTTCTGCGGCCTCGTGCGTGCCCTTCTCGCCAGGTGGTCCAGCATGCTCCTCGATGGCCCTCGCCGAGAAAACATGCACACGTCCGAGCGATGCCAAGACAACTGCAAGAAGCCGCCTGGTATGGCGCACGGCGCGAGGGGGCCTCGGCCCGGAGGCCCAAACCTGGCCAGCCCGGGCCCCTCCTGGAGCGCGGGCAGGCCAGGATCTCGAAAAGATGAGGAGCCAGCTCTCCACCACCACTACCACATGTAGGACGGAGGAGAAGGGAGGATAGGGAGGGTCCTCCTCCTCCTCCTCCTCCTCCTCCTCCTCCTCCTCCTCCTCCTCCTCCTAGCCATGGCTGCGGTTGTGGAAAAAAGTGCCCATCAAAAGAAAGGACCCCGCCGCGGCGGCGAGAGGTCCCCTCTGGAGGCCCCAGGAGGCGCCCCGACACGCCCAACAGCATCCTCAGAAACCTCGCAGCGCGCGGCGGTGAGAAGGAGGCCCCGCCAGGCCTGGCTGCCCGAGTGCTTCAGGAGCTCCATCCTTGGGCTCTGCGCAGGGGTGGCCTCTGCCACGGGTGACCCCGGGTGCGCTGCCACCGCGGGGCGCACCCTCCGGAGAGCAGCCCCTCCAGGCTCTTCCAGAGGCTGCGGAGGAGCGCCTCAGGGCGCCCCGGCCGGCCCAGCACCAGAGGTCACTCCGGCGGAAGGACACTCTTGCGCGAGGAACAAAGAAGGTCGACACCACCAACCACCACCACCACCACCACCACCACCACCACCACCACCACCACCACCACCACCACCACCACCACCACCGCGAGGCGCCAGGGGGCGCCCGCCCGGTGGCGCAGCCCCCCTGTCCTGCGGCGTCCCTCTCGAGGCACCCCTGGCCTGCAGCGCAGGGAGGCAGCGAGAGGACCCCCTCGCCAGAGGCGGCACGCGGGGCTCGGGCACACGCCAGCATGGACTGCGGAGCCGTGGATCTGGCGCGTGGGCGCCCGATCCAAGGATCGGGGAGGCTACCCCCGCTGAAATGAGGCCAGCGCCGCCCGATTTCGCGACGGAGCGTGCCGATTGTGCATGGAGGTGGGGCCCGTCGAGCATCCGCCGCCTGAGTCCATCTTGCTTGCCCGAAAGGGGTACGGAATGTCCCAGATCGACAGCGGCCGCTGCCGGGGAGGCGAAGCGTCCGCGGCGACACCGACGGCGAGCCCCGCTCAACAGTGGGCAGGTGCTGCTGTAAATCTTCGACCCCATTCGTTCCGCACCCATGTCGATGGCACCGATCCATGCTTGCGCTTCCTCGAGGATGGTGTTGCCGCTCCCCCATTGGAGGCCGGCGGGGGGTCTGAACTGGTTGGGACTCTAGAAAAGCGGTCAGGCGCAAGGGGGATGTGGCCACACCCGCTCAAGATCGGTCCCCGGACCCTTTCCAAGATCAAACTGGTGCAATTTTTCACCTTGGTCCGTTTCTGACTGTCAGTTGGGCCCGAAAACGGACCCCGGAGACAGAAAAAGGTAAAACACCTTCTCGAACCCAGAACTTCGAACCTCGAACCTCCCTTCCTGCTGGCCAGAACCATGCAGGAGATCCCTCAGACTCCCAGCTATCTCCAAGGTACCCCCCCCCCCCGACGCGTGAAGAGGAGGACCGGCTCAAAGCTCCCCCCACCCATCTGACGCGTGAGGAGGAGAAGGAGGAGGAGGAGGAGGAGGAGGAGGAAGAGGAGGAGGATGAGGAGGAGGGAGAGGAGGAGGAGGGGGAAGAGGAGAAGAGAAGGAGGAGGATGAGGAGGAGGAGGAGGAGCAGGAGGACGAGGAGAATGACGGGGAAGGGGAGGAGGAGGAGGAGGAGGAGGAGGAGGAGGAGGGGAGGAGGAGGAGGAGGAGGAGGAGGAGGAGGAGGAGGAGGGAGGAGGGAGGAGGAGGAGGAGGGAGGAGGAAGAGGAGAAGGAGGAGGAGGAGAAGGAGGGAGGAGGAAGAGGAGAAGGAGGAGGAGGAGGAGGGAGGAGCAGGAGGAGGCCGAGGGGCAGGAGGACATCCTGATCTGCAGGCTCGACCACGGGTGCGAGCCCTCCGCCACGTCCGCCGCGCGGCGCGCGGGCGCGCCGCCGGGCGCGCAGCGGCTCGCCGGCCGGACCCGGCGGGGGTCCAAGCTGCCCTTGAAGCCGACGAGCTGGGAGCTCTCCGCCCCCTCCTCCTGAGGACGGCGAACACGACGACGTGGACGACGTGTCCCGCCCGAGAGACTTGCCCACGACGGCGACGACGAGCACGCGACGAGCAGAGCGGGAGCAGTGTCGTGACATTCGGCGGCGAGCCTGGGGGTAAGTGAGACGGGGCGGGCCTTCTCAGAAGGCTCGGAAGTTCCCCAGCCTTCCGAGAAGTTTCCTGAGCCTTCCCCGAAGACACAAAAACTTGTCAGAAGGTCAGAGTACTTCTGAACGCCCCGCCGCCTTCTCACTTCCCTTCTCACTTCCCCCCTCGCTCGCCGCGGAAACAAGAACCACCACCGCCAGAACTCTTCCTCCTGGCAGTCGTGGGAGCAAAACCCCAGACCCCCTCGGGTCATGGAAAAAATCAGGACGCTCGCTTCTTCACTATATTCGGCCTCTGGGGGCCCTCATCGGGACTCGGGGCCGTCAGAAAACGACTCGGGATGAGAAACTGGTCCCAGGGAAGGGGTCTAGACTGGGGGTCGAGGTCATGAAAGAATCATGATGTCGTCGGGGGTCTGGGGAAAGAGCCACCACCACCAGAAATCTGTAGATTTCCGTCCCCAAAGGCCGCCCCACCGAGCAGGTGGTGGTGGTGGTTCTCCCTTCTCTTGTGAAGCATTTCGGCAACCCCACGAGCGACGATCAGATACGGGTCCTGCGCGAGATGTCATAGCGACCTAACGCCGCAGTTACGCGGGCCGCCAGCGCGGCACGCTACACTTGAAGCGAGGGCGCGTACGCGCGACCTTACGCGGGCAGCGTACGCGCGAATGTAGGCGCAGTCGACCCCCTTTTCTTTCGTCGCTCACACGATATGATGGTTTCAATCCCGCCGTTTTTCCTCGACTTTAGCCTCTGGGCGCCGTCATCGAGCCTCGGGGCCATCAATCGTGGACCTGGGACGAAAAACTACCCCAGGGAAGGGGTCGGGAACTCTGAGGACGCGGAATGGGCAAATCATATCGGCTGGTGTCATGGGACCCTACCCTGCATGACAGATTTCACAGGAAACGAAGAAAACGCAAGGGGGGCAGAACTGGAAGGATGCCTGCAGCCAACCGAACCCCGGCGGGGGTGTCCGATACCCCAGCGCCACCTGGACTCGTAGGGGTAGCGTTCGCAAGTGGAAGCAGCATCATAAGTAGCCAAAGCCATTCCCCACCCCCACTGGGGAGCCATTGGTCCCACTGGCCAGCCTGCCCCCTCGTTGGGGATGGGTGCCATCACCTCTGGATCTCGCAGCACCCATCCCCGCCTGGAGGGGGGGACGCCCAGCGACCCAAACAGTGCCCAGTCTCAGTCGGGGCTTGGCCGATGCTGCCGACGACCATCCTCAAGATGGAGCGCTGACAACGTAGTCGCCGCGCCCTCCACTGGTTTCCCACCTTTCTGCTGCTCTTCCCAGGGCTCTCGCAATACATTTGCGAGTAGCTCGGGACTTTGGCCGTAGCCGCTGACATGCACTCTGTATCGATCAAGTGCTCCTTATGAGAGCGTTTTTCTATTCGGAGTTTCGACATTGGGCGGAAGGGGGGGAAGGGGGGGGTCTGGCTCCGGACCTCTGCTTAATGCGACTGTTTGCAGCAGGGCGTCCATCATGGGGGAGGCCCCACCTGCTCGAAACAGGCACTAACATGATCGACCCACGAATCCGGAAAGGAATATAGAACTGTAACACATGGCAGCGTTTTCAAAGACACCTGATTGGGTGACGGGCACATGCAATGCTGAGTGTATCGATCTTGATGTACCCTGCCGAGGGCTGTGCTGTGCTGCGCCGTGCTGAATTGCGATGTGCCATGGCGCGACTGTGCTCTATAGCGTCGTGGATCGAGTCCTCCTTTGCATCCGAGTCCTGACCGAACTGATCTGGATCTTAAGCTCGAGCTGCCTGAACACATAGTAGCTGCCCCAGAGCTAATGACAGGGGAACATGCCAGGAGGACGCGCCGCGAAACGTCCCAAGGGATGCGCCAGGCGACGTGCCAGGGGACGCGCCATGGGGTCGCACCGTAGGACGTGCCAAAGGGACGCGCTACGGAACGTGCCAATGGATGGGCCACGGAATGTGCCAGGGGACGCGCCACGCGACGTGCCAGGGGGACTCGCCAAGGGACGCCCCACGGAACGTGCCAAGGAACGTGCCAAGTTGCAATGCTGAGTGTATCGATCTTGATGTACCCTGCCGAGGGCTGTGCTGTGCTGCGCCGTGCTGAATTGCGATGTGCCATGGCGCGACTGTGCTCTATAGCGTCGTGGATCGAGTCCTCCTTTGCATCCGAGTCCTGACCGAACTGATCTGGATCTTAAGCTCGAGCTGCCTGAACACATAGTAGCTGCCCCAGAGCTAATTGACAAGGGGAACATGCCAGGAGGACGCGCCGCGAAACGTCCCAAGGGATGCGCCAGGCGACGTGCCAGGGGACGTGCCATGGGGTCGCACCGCGGGACGTGCCAAGGGGACGCGCTACTGAACGTGCTGGGGACAAGCGTTTCGCTCGAGACATCCTATCAAAATCATCCGAATTCCTACGCGCGGGACGCGGCACGCGCGAGACATCCTCGGAATTCCTGCGAGCGGGACACGAAAACAAGCATTTCGCCTGAGACATCCTCTGAATTCTGGCCCCCCACGAGGCCCCCGCTCGAGACATCCCCCAATTTTGCAAAACCAGCGTTTCGCTCGAGACATCCTCAACAAATTATGAAAAACAAGCGTTTCGCTCGAGAAATCCTGTCAAAACCCCAAGAAATCAAAATTCCTGCGCGCGGGACGCGGCACGCGCGAGACATCCTCGGAATTCCTGCGTGAGGAGCGCTTTTCCGTGTCGCGGTCGGCTCTGCAAAACCAGCGTTTCGCTCGAGACATCCTCAACAAATTCTGAAACCAAGCGTTTCGCTCGAGACATCCCCAACTCTGCAAAACCAGCGTTTCGCTCAAGATATCCTTAACAAATTCTGAAAAACAAGCGTTTCGCTCGAGACATCCTCAAAAATAATTCCGCCGGCCCTACTCCCGCACGTAATTTATCGCAGAATAATTTCGCCGGCCCATCAGCCGTCAGATCCGGGGGTAAACCTCTAAAAGAGAACCCTGGGCTCGAGCCCTTTCCGGGAAAAAACAGCCAGGATCTACTCCATGGCCCGCGCCCATCGGCAACACAATGGCTCAAAACACGATCCCGGTACGCGACGCAGTCCCCTTAAGTGGGTGCTTCCACCTGCGGGGACAACGTGGCCGGATAGCCGCTCCCAGCTTCCTCCTGTCCATTCCCTGTGTTTTTTTCGGTGTCGTGCGTGGTTTCTTCGTCAAATGATCAAGGATGCTCCTCGATGGTCCTCGCCGAAGGAAACATGCACACGTCCGAGCGATGCCAAGGTCTTGGGTCGGCGCTGGGCCCCGCTGACGTGGCGCGCGAAGCAAGCCAGAGGCGGCGCTGGAGGCATCGCCAGGGAGCTCAGCGTCGCCCCGAGAGACCCGCGCGAACCTGCGAGAGACGTTTGTGCAGTTCTCCTTGCTGCCCCTGAGATGACACAGACGCGGCTGCGGCAAGAGTCGAGCATGACAAGGCTGTTTTCGACACCAGCAGGGCCCCAGAAAACGCCCCCGGATGCCGAGAATTGAGAAAAGCAAGGAGCTCCGCCCTGCATTATCTTTCGGGATGCTGGATTTCGGGAAAAGATTGTGGGTTCGTGTCGTGACGACTGCGGCGTTGGTTTTTGACACGGCGTGGATCGATCAACCTTGAACCATCGGCAAATTCCCGATCGCCAGATCTTTCCCCACTGGCCGATTCTGGGCCGCTGCTGGCGCTCAACCTTGAACGCCCGCGCTGGAATCGCCGCCACATCAACACTACAAAAACCTACTGTATGGGTCGTCATCGTCGTCGTCCTCCTCCTCCTCCTCCTCGTCGCCCTCCTCCTCCTCGTCGTCCTCGTCCTCGTCCTCGTCGTCGCCGGCGACTCCTGCGTGGGGCCGCCGTGCACACCGACCTGGAGCGACGAGCTCCGACTGGCGAGCTCCGACGGGGCCACCTGGAGGCGACACGCCACAACACTGGGGGGGGGCCATGTGCGGGAGCAGGCGACGACCTGGCGAGGTGGCTCACGGCAGGCTCGTGCCGCGCCGACGTCGTTGGGTCCTCAAACCGCGAGGCTCGCTCAACCTTGAACGGTCGGCCGTGTCCGACGCCTCAGATCGTTCACGCATCGACCTCGCTGTCGCTCGGACGTCCTCTTCCCGTGCATCTCTCGGCTTCGTGCGTGTTCCTTCTGTTGCCCGATGGTCCAGCATGGCCCTCGACGGTCCTCGCCGAGCACAGAGATGCACACGCCCGGGCGATGCCAGGCGACAGGCGCTGGGGCGCCCGCGCCCAACGTGGAACGCCAGCAGCGGAGGAGGAGGGGGCGGAGGAGGAGGAGAAGGAACAGGACGAGAAGAAGGGGGAGGAGGAGGAGGAGGAGGAGGAGGAAGAGGAGGAGGAGGCGGAAGAGGAGGGGGGGTCGCCGCCGGTCGACGCGACGCGAGCCTGTGCGGTGCCCGGGCCGCCGGCGCGGCACACCGCGCGGACGAGGGGGGCGCCCGCGCGCGACCCCGTGCGAGCACGTCGCGCCGCCCGCGCCTCGCGCAGGCGCGGCCCCGCGCCCCGTCAGCGGCGCGCCCAGGAGGCCCCAAGAGTGCCCCAAGACCGCCCAGGAAGCCTCCTCCTCCTCCTCCTCCTCCTTTTTCCTCCTCCTCCTCCTCCTTTTTCCTCCTCCTCCTCCTATTTTTTCCTCCTCCTCCCCCTCCTCCTCCTCCTCCTCCTCTTCTCGCTCCCCCACGCGTTCCCCGAAGTCTTTCCAGGCCTTCGGCCCCCTCAGGCTGGGCATTTCCTTAGGGTGGAGGGCTTAGGGTGAAGTCCATATGGGCTTCTGCACCTCGACAATCGACCGGTCTCGTGATTCACCTCCTGCAGATTCCCGAGGAAATCCATCGATAAGGCATTGCCCTCCACCTGACGAAAATGCTCGGCAGAAGTCTTCTGGCCTCCCGGGAAGCGCTCGACGCCTTCCCTGGAAGCGGAGACGGCTTCTCAGAGGGCCAGGGGGGGCGTCTGAGGAGCCCCGCCGCCTGCTGAGGAGGCCCGCCTGTTCCCTCACGTTCCCCCCGTGGACGCGCGCCGCCCGCCCTTTGCGCCGCCAGAGCCTGCATCAGGGGTTGCCCCGCGGACATGGCGCCCAGGGAGCCGACCTCCTTCTGGACCACGTCGATCTTCCCCTCCAGGCGCTCCTGCCCCGCGATCAGCTGCGAGAGCTGCGCCAGGAGCTCGTCCACGAGCCGCGGGTCGACCCCGGCGGTCTGCTCCTGCTCGTCGGGGACGGGCACCACGCCGTCCCATATCGAGAACGCGCTGGAGCGACGGCGGCCACCCTCGCGATTCTTGCCCTTGCTCGCTCCCGACATCGCCTTCATGAACGCGGCCATGCTCGCCGCTGCCGACCAGGCGCACTGTCACGTGGCGCCCAGTCGGCCGTCCGTACACCAAGTCGGGCCCCCCAGCTGGGGACCGATGCTGCCTCGGGCCCGTCTTGAACCACAGCGGCTTGAGCCAGAATGTCTGCAGAGGGGACTAAAAGGATGGGGAGCTACGAAGAGGAACGTCCCGTCAAGCCAGACGCGCAACACAACCGGGACAATGTGTCCGGAAGTGGAGTGCACGGCTCCAGGTGCTTGCCCAACTGTGCACTCACATTCGTTCATAAGCAACAGGTGGCACCATAACTACTCCAATCCACAAACGCGGTGTACATGTCAAAGACGTCATTATCAAATTCCTGGAGGTGCTAATCCGCAGACCGTCGAGCTCCCTTCCTCACGTGTTTCGGTGCCTGAGCCTCGTGGTTGGGGATGTCCCAGGTTGCGGCACTCCGGGTCCCGAGGCAGCGGGCGATCTCTTGAATTACCATCATCCCGCGCCGAGAGGAGGCGCCCACAGGTTTCGAGGGCCCAGGAAAGACAGCCGCTGCTGGAGCCTCGAGAAGAGACATGTCATGTTGCGAGGCTGTCTCCCCGGGAAGCAAATCGATGACGCGTTTCGGCCTCCGCGGAACACATGAAGCGAACCGCGCTCCACCCTGGAATTATGGTGGCACGAATGCTGCCTGGCTGGAATTCAAATCGTTTACAAGAGGGCCGCCCGGCCTGCATGTGCCGATCCAGATATCTGAATGCCACAGCTGTTCAGCTCTTCTGCAAGGAGCTGGCCTCCCACGAGGAACAGATGTCCACACGTGGCTCCCTCGGAGACGAGCCCATTTCTGGAGCGCCCTGCGTCGTCGCAGGCCTTGCTGCCACGTCCCCCATCACTCCCGAGGGCTCCAGGGCGACCCGATGCCTCCAACTCAACCCTCAAGGGCGCCAAAATCCCCCATCCGAAAATCTACGGAGGATGCCTAGAGAAGGAACGATAGCATCCCAGGAAGCTCCAACACAGCCCTCCAGAAGGTTAGAGAACGCGAACCAAAACCATGGAGCAACCTGAAGATCAACTTAAGTCGCCTCCAAAGCGATTGGTCTCAAAATTGCCTCCTGGATGACCATTCGAGAGGGCCCGAAATTGGAGAAAAGTAGACAACGCGCTTCGAACAATAACACAAGAAGAACCAAACATGGATCCAAGAGGATCACTCAGTCTCCAAGGGGCCCAGACCCAAGACGGCCAAGGCAACCTGAGAGAGACCTGACATTGCGCCACGATGCCCTAAGCAAGACGAAGGACATCAAACCGTCCTGGGAGGGCCCCGAGGGGCCATCAAGAGGTGCCCGAGAAAGTGCTTCCCCTCCCCCCCATGGCATCCGACGTCACGACATTTTCGCGGCATGACCTTTCGTCAAGCCTCTGGGCCCCACCGTGGGGGGGGCATGTGACCCCAGACGGCTCTTCTACGGTCCAGAGCTCGACGCGACCGAGCGTTTCCCTGATTGTTCACACAGGGTGGGACGACGCGGATGTCAGGCACACGCCAACATGGATTACAGATCCGTGGGCATGGCGCGTGGGCGCCAGATCCCATGGCGAAGGTGACGTGCTGAACGGCAGCGTTTGCAGGGATGGCCCGAGCGCAACCAATATCCAGTGCGACCCATCACGCACCGACTTGCGTGACAAATCATGATGCATGTACCGTTGTTTATATATTACGATGCATCGCAGCCTGCCTGACGCTCCCACCGGAGGCACGCCCATCCACGGATCCCAAAGGTGGTGTACCCCTTCTCTGGGGAGCAGGCACGCGCACTTTTCGTCAGCGGCGAGGCGGCGAACTCCGCTTCAGCAAGAAGCTAGATAGGGACACTAACTAGCCAATTGGCCAGCGAGCAAAGGGGGGGGGGACGGCCGAGAGGAAGAAGGGACGCTCAGACGCCGAAGAGTTTGACAACGAGACAGGCACTCGCACAAGCAAACCGTTGGAAAGCCATGCCCTGGGCTTCCCCTGGGCCTTCTCCGAAATCAAATAGGGCCACGAGACTGCTCTGGGAGGTCCAGGGATCGCCCAAGACTTCGGTCGGGCGTGTCCTCCTAGAGGCGGATTTCGAAAGAAAGATAAAACTTTGTTGACACACAATCCAGAATAATCCAAACTACAGTGGAAGCCACAAGAAACGTTCAACAAGAAACCCAACCGTGAGACCCCAGGGCGTCCATTGATTTTTGGTACGGGAACGCCACGCTTTCCATCGCAAAACAATCGAAACCCAAGAAACCCAGGAGGCAAGCAAGGTGTTTCTTGGCATGGGTTTCCACTGTATGAAAACTAACACGTGCCCAGACTATTCATGGACCAATTTTGAATGTTCTGCTGTAAAGAACATGCCCGACTTAACCCAAGACGGCCCCAACACGGCCCCAATACAGCCTAAGATGGCCCCAACACGGCCAAAGAGGCCCTGAAGGCGGCCCAAGAGGGCTCCAAAGGGCACCCAACGAAAGACAACAAACAATGACATGTCTGAGATTGAGATTGCTGAAGGACGTGGCGGTTCTCGACTTCTCGGGCTTCAGACACCCCCAGACCGCCCTGCAGGCCTCCCGAGACGGTCCAAGAAAACTCCAACAGGGTCCCAGGACGGCCCCAAGGTGGCCGCAAGGGCCTACAGACAGACCAAACCTAGCCTAAGTCGGAGAGACCCCCCAGGACTGCTCCTGAAGTGATCCAAGAGGGCACCAAGACGGCTGAAGACGCCCCCCCAGACGCCCAAACAGGTTCCCAACAAGCTCCTAGACAGCCCCAAACGCGTTCACAGACTCTACACATTCCAGACGTGCACCCCGCTAAGGGGGGAATAATCCACGGATTGGGGGAAGGACCCTCGAACCATGAGGCAATCCCGCCTGATTTGGCGACCGAACGCGCCAATTCCATATGGAAAAGGGGCCCGTCGAAAACCCGCGCACCTTAATCCACGTCTGCGTTTCCTCGAGGATTGTGAGGCGGGGATTTATCCATAACTACCGCCTTGGGTATCGATCGATCTTCGGCAAATGGATCTAAATAGACTTGGCTCCCCCATGGCCCGGATGTATCCATATTCGCCGCCTGCCGACATCCCCGAAGATCGATCCCCCAGGCGGTGGTCATGGATAACTCCTCGACTCGGGAGAGTACAGTAGGAGCTCGACCACAAGAAACCCAACCCTGAGACCGCAGGACGTCCATCGATTTCTGGTGTGGGACCGTCACGCTTTCCATCGCAAAGCCCCCGGAACCCAAGAGAAACCCAGGGCACCCTGGAGGCAAGCAGGGTGTTCCTTGGCATGGGCCTCCACCGCAGAAGCCGCAGGAGGTCACCCCGAGGCCTCTTGGAGTGGCCCGCCCCGGGGCGCACAGAGGCCTGCCCTTAAGTCGGGCCTGTCCCCCTACAGAGGGATTTCCGACGGAAAATTCAAAATACCCAAAACAAATCCAAACAAATTATCCAAAAAGAGTCCAGGGACTATGTTTTTGAGTATCGTTTGACCTTTTGGGGGCATTGTTGGGGTATTTTTTATTTGTCGCCGAAAATCCCCCTGTAGGGGGACACGCCCGACTTAAGCCTGCCCCCCCCCCCGCCTCCCTCTCGAGGCCGAGGCCCCGGGGGGCGCCGCGGAGAGGCCCACGCAGGCGTCGCGCTAGAGTGGATCCTCCTCCGCCCTGCCCCGTCGAGCCTCCTCCCCGCTCCCTCTCCTCCTTCTCATCATGCTCCTCCTCTTCCTCCTCCTCCTCCTTCTCCTTCACCTCATCCTCATCCTCATCCTCATCCTCATCCTCATCCTCATCCTCATCCTCCTCCTCATCATCATAAGCAACAGCATCAGCATCAGCATCAGCATCGTCGTCATCGTCATCGTCATCGTCATCGTCATCATCACCACCACCACCATCATCATCATCATGATCAACATCCTCATCCTCATCCTCATCATCATCCTCCTCATCATCATCATCAGCATCACCATCACCATCACCATCACCATCACCATCAACATCACCATCACAATCACCATCATCATCATCAGCATCAGCATCAGCATCAGCATCAGCATCAGCATCAGCATCAGCATCAGCATCAGCATCATCATCATCATCAGCAGCAGCAGCAGCATCAGCATCAACATCAACATCATCATCATCATCATCATCATCATCATCATCATCATCATCATCATCATCATCATCATCATCATCATCATCATCACCAGTATCATCATCAACATCATCATCATCATCAGCATCATCATCATCATCATCATCATCATCATCATCATCATCATCATCATCATCATCATCATCATCATTATCATCCAGCTCCAGCTCCAGCTCCAGCTCCAGCTCCAGCTCCAGCTCCTCCTCCTCCTCCAGCTCCTCCTCCAGCTCCTCCTCCAGCTCCTCCTCATCCTCCTCCTCCTCCTCCTCCTCCCTCGCTCCCTCCTCCCTCCTCCCTCCTCCCTCCCTCCCTCCCTCCTCCCTCCCTCCTCCCTCCTCCCTCATCATCCCTTATCCCTGCCTCCTCGTTTTCCTTCCTCTTCGCGGCGACGGAGGGCAAGGTCCCTGCCCCCCCCTGCTCCTCTTTCCAACTCGACGTCGAGACTCAGACGTTTTTTTTCTGTCAGGGAGCGGCCCTCCGTCTCCCTGGCGACCTCCCGATGAAAAGGTTGGTCCAAGTGTGCCGCCGGCGCTTTCCGTGCCAGCGTCGGGCAAAGCAGAAGACGAAGCCAGGACAATGATAAAGTCGGACAAGGATCATCGGGAGGAGGAGGAGGAGGAGGAGGAGGAGGAGGAGGAGGAGGAGGAAGGGAGCAGGAGGAGGAGGAGGAGGAGGAGAAGGAGGAGGAGGAGGAGGAGGAGGAGGAGGAGGAGGAGGAGGGGGAGGGTCGAGCGCGTTACCCGCAGAGAGAAAAAGGGGAAGATCAAACTAAAGACCCGCCGAGGTTAATCTAGAATTTCTGGGATCCGACGGTTCTGGAGGATGTATCGGGCGCCGCGGCCTTCTCAGAGCGTTCCAGAACGCTCTGACAGCGTTCTGGAACGCTCCGGGACGGATTCGTCCCCGTCCCAGCCCGTCCCGAGAACGCGCTTCTCTTCAAGATTGTTCTCGCGCGCTCCACGCTCCCTCCTCCCCCCTTCCTCCTCCCTCCCCCCACCTCCCCAAACCCTCCTCACTCCTCCCACCTCCTCCTCTCTCCTCCCACCTTCCTCCTCCCCCTCCTCCTCCGCCTCCTCCTCCTACTCCGCCTCCTCCTCCTGGATACTGATTCCTGTCGGCATTGGTACTACCCGAACGATGCCGCTCCCCCAGGGGCTGGCCAAAAACCAGCCCGGGGGGACTTGAATATAACAGTAGAAAGATGGTGAACTAAGACAGACAAGGAGGAAGAAGGATGACGGAGAAAGGAGCATCACAATAACCACGGAAAAGGGACAGGGAGTCGGGGCAGTTGCGGCACGTGGCAATGCCAAGAACGCTGGCTGGGCCGTTTGGCCCTGCTCTTGTGGCCGAGCCAGGCTCCCCCTCCTTCAAAGTCGCCTGGCCCTGCCGTGCCAGCGCCCTGCAAGGTAATACACGGGGCCCTCCGCCGCAGAAGTGCCCCATTGGCCACACGGTTGGGGGCGTCGTGGCGCCCGCACCGCACCCACAGGCCAGCTGGAAAGGTCGTCCGCACGGGTGGCGGGCGGCCCTGCGAGGGCAGGGCGTGGGGACGAGTGCGAGGTGACGGTTGTCGGCGGAGAGGCAGGCCAAAGGCAGAGCTGCCGTCCGGGCAGCATCGGCGCCAATGCCATAGGACGTCGGCGTAGAGGCGAGGAAAACTGCGCACGGGTGAACCTATGGGCGGCGGCGAACCCCGGCCGCACTCGCCAGAGTGAAGAACCCAAGGGCCTCTTCCTCTGCTCATGGGAATCCCCCAGAGGGAAGGCACCCTTAGGCCAACGGCGGGATCCATCGCCCGCAAGCAGGCTTAGGGTTCCCAGCACGTTGACCTCTGGGCCCCCCAGAGGGGGGTTTCCACAGAGCGCGAGCAAGGCCTGGGCCTTCCTGGCGGTGGCTGGGCGCCACTCTCGCGCGGAGGGGGCGGCCGGCCGCACACGCCAAAGGGGAAGGCTGAAAGGCCTCCTCCCCCGCACATAGGAGATTAGGAGATCCCCCGAATCGTCCCCCGTTCCCGCGGCTTGTACCCTCCCCTGCAGACGCAGGAGAAGGGTACCCAGATCGAGGAGGTGGGAGCCGCCGGAGGGATGTTCACCGTGCGTATATGGGCGTTGTGCTTTCCCTGCTGGCAGCACGGTGGAAACCGTGGCCCCGTCCACCCTGCCCAGCCATACTCCCCCCCCCCGCCCCTCATCTGTAGGCGCACGACACAGCTGCGGTGAGAGAGGTACCTGTCGCTGCCGACATCCTAGCTGTGGCACTGTTGGGCGAAAATGAAGGGGCCCTGGGACACACAAATAAATAGACACAAATGCAAGGGTTTCCAATATTTTCCTATATTTTCTACGTTTTTGTCCTCCTCCCCACTTCGCATATTTTCCTACAGTTTCTTCGGAATCGACGATTAATTGTGTCTGTGTGTGTTTTTCCCTCCTGAAAAAGGAGGTGGTGCTTGCGCAGGGCCCGCGTCGGGGGCGGTGGGCGACGCGCTGCCACGTGCCACGGCCGCCCGGGCCCTTGCCAGGGCGGCCCGTGGTGAGGCCTGCCTCGCCCCCCCCCCCCGCCCCGCCAAGGTGTTGCCCCACGCCGCAAGGAGTTGGGGGCCGAGAAGGGCAGCGCGACGCCGCAGGGGGAACGGGCAGGCGAACAGAAACCAGGAGGGAGGGAAGGGTGGAGGTTGGCGAGGCCGTCTCTCAGCACAGGTCGGTTGCGGCAGCGTAGCCTGTGGGTGAGAATGCCCCTGGGGAGGGGGCCAATGTGTAGCATAGCTTCTCCTGCTGCCGTTGACGTCTGCCGAGGCTTTGCCTCACACGTCGGATGATCTAGCACAGCTGTGTGGGTGAGAAAGCCCCTAAGGGATCCATGGAATAGCATCTGTTCCTGGCGAGTCGCCGCTGGTTGGGCCTGCAGCGCCGCTTGCTGCTGCCGTCGGATATGGATCTCAAGACGGTACGTCCAGCTGTGCTGCTGCCGATGGTGCGTGCTGCCGGGTAGGGGCATCGTGCCGAGGTAGAGTGTCAGGAGGTAGCAGCTGGCGCAGGAGACTGTGTGGAGCAAACTTGGACATGGCGTGCGCGAAGGAGAGGTACCTCTCGAAATGCTGTGTGCGAAACTTGTACTCGAAAAAGTTGCGCCAGAGCCGGAACCGTGCCAGAGACGCCTCCAACGCTGGCGGCGGCTGACGACGTGACGAACGCGGCCGAAGCAAAAAACGAATGCCACGGCGGTGCTGGCCGACGTGCCCTCGGCGGGTGCAGGGGCGCGCGCGCGAAACGGGCCAGCACGCAGGACCCGGCGAAAGATGAGGAGGAGGAGGAGGAGGAGGAGGAGGAGGAGGAGGAGGAGGAGGAGGGCTCCTCGCAGACGCCATGGCTCCCAGCGGCGCTCTCAGTGGGGGCACTTGGCCGCACTGACGGGCTGCTGGAAGGCTGGCCCCGTCGGGAGGCGTTGGCCTCTCGCGGCTGTTGACAACCAGGGGGGGGTCCCACCAGCCCTTTCGGGCTATAGGTGGCTTAAGGAGCTTCCTCTTCCAACTCCCTTCTTCCCCTTCGGGGAGGGGTTAAACGGTTTACCCTCCCCCCTTACCCCCTCCCCCAGACCTGGACGGGGCCGGTCGCGAGCGGTAAAGGCGCCCAAGATGGCCCAAGACGGCTCCAAGAGGGCCTCGGAGACCCCAAGATGACCTCCACGATGGTTGAAGATAACCCAAAATGCCTCATGATGGCTGCCAAGATGCTCCACGAAGCCCCAAGAACGCTCCCAGACGGTTCCAATAGGCCTCCGAGACCTCCAAGGAGGCCCCCAAGAGGCCACAATCCTTCCAGAACCGATGGGGAAACAATGATTTTGCGTTCTCGCCTTTTCGCTTCGGATGGATTTCCGAGGCCTCAAGATGGCTCCAAGATGGCCCAAGAGAGCCCTGAGAGAGGCCCAAGAGAGCTTCAATACGGCTCCAAGAGCGCCCAAGAGCGCTCCAAGAGCGCTCTTCAAGAGGGGTCCAGAAGGTGATGTTTGGGGCTCCCGAGGGCGGCACTAATTGGAGCTCCCCCCTTCTTTGATCGATGTCCTCCAAGATGGCCCCAAGAGGCGCTCAGGAGGCCGCAAGAGGCCCCAAGATGGCCCCAAGATGGACCCAAGAGGCCCCCAAGAGGCCTCCAGGAGGCCCCCAAGAGGACCCCAAGAGGAACCCAAGCGGCCCCTAGAAGCCCCCCCGAGGCACCCAAGACGCCCAAGAGACTCCCAGGACCGCCAAGAGACCCCCAAGACGTCCCAAGAGGCATCCAAGAAGTGCCCTAGAGATCCCAAGAGGCTCCGAGAGGCATCCAAGAGGCCTCTGGCCCTTTTGCATGCCCTCCTCCTCCTGCTCCTCCTTCCTCCTCCTACACCTCCTCCTCCTCCTCCTCCTTCTCCTCCTCCGCCTCCGCCTCCTCCTCCTCCTAATCATCCTCCTTCTCCCCATTCCCTCATCCATCCATCCAGCCTCCTCCTCCTCCTCCTCCTCCTCCTCCTCCTCCTCCTCTCTCCTGCGCACGGTTCGGCCGTCCCCCTCTTTGCTCCCGCACTTCCCTGATCACCTCAACTCGTCTGGACATAGTTTCTGGATGGGCTGGTGGGGATACTTTTAGTCAGCAGCCGCAGGCGAGAGCGCAAGCGGCGAGTCGAGTCAGAGCGGGCCGCGCAAAGACGAATTACCTAAAGCCGGCGGGGCCTCAGGCGGCACCACGGCGGGCAGGGCCAGCGGGTGGGGGGGTGCAGGCTGCGGCTGCCAGGGAGCTGGACCAGGGCAACGTGCAAATTGGCCAACCGAGGTCGGGGCGCGGCCAAAATGGCGCGAATTGCGTACCAGGGTGGGACCAGGGCGGCGGCGAGCCGGTATCTGCGACGACTGCCAAGCGGGCCGAGAGGTCCAAACTGGTGCACTGGGTGGCGCCACCAAGGTCGCACACCCGGTTCCCGTTGGGAAGTACTGATCCCGCGAAGACCGTCCACGAAGTTACCCAGGGACGGGCAAGGTAGCCAGGGACACGATGGAAGTACTCGACACCGTAGCTCCCGATCCACCGGATCAGGTAGCCACATGCACCCTCGAGCTGGAACCGGCGACTGAGGGCTGCTGGAACAGGAAGGTCCAGCTGGTGGGGATACTTTTTTCGGTCGCGGCCGCGAGACAGAGGTCAGGCGGCGAGAAGCAAAGTCCAGGACACGAACGAGGCTAATTAGCTACAGCAGGCACAGGCCGGCTGGTGTTTTTTTTTTATCTGCGGCCCGCAAGGAAAAGTCCAGAGGGCGTGTCAATCAGCTGGTGGGGATACGCGGAGCGTCTAGAATTTCCTGACTTGCCGTAGGAGCGTCGGACTGGTAGGCATGGCGGTATTGCTTGCACTCTACTTCCAAATGTGGCCAATGGGGCCGAGGCGTCCTGAATTGATGTCCTCCTCCTCCTCCTCCTCCTCCTCCTCCTCCTCCTCCTCCTCCTCCTCCTCCTCCTCCTCCTCCTCTCCCCCCCCTCCCCCCTCCCCCTCCTCCTCCTCCTCCTCCCCCTCCTCCTCCTCCTCCTCCTCTCCCTCCTCCTCCTCCTCCTCCTCCTCCTCCTCCTCCTCCTCCTCCTCCTCCTCCTCCTCCTCCTCCTCCTCCTCCTCCTCCTCCTCCCCCCTCCTGCTCCTCCTCCTTCTCCCTCGTCCTCCTACCGCACTCCTCTGCATCCCCTACCCACCTCTGGGACGCACGCGAACAGGCCCCACTGGCCCTGCAGCAGGAAGTCCTTCCGCCGGCGGGAGGGGACCCAGGTGGGAGGAAGCCGCATCAGCTGGCGGCGTCGCCGCCGCCGCCATCGACGTCGCCACAGTCGTCGTCGTCGTCGTCGTCGTCGTCGTCGTCGTTGTCGTCGTCGTGATCGTAGTCGTGGTCGTCGTCGTCGGAGGAGGAGGAGACGGAGGGGAAGGAAGAGGAAAGGAAAGTGGAGTAGAAAGAGGAGGAGGGCGGCGACCCGCGGAGCCTCTGGAAGGATGACGAGGAGAATGATGATGGAGGCGGAGCCTCCGAAGGAAGACAAGGAGGAACTGCGTCGAAGAATCCGGGGGGCCCTCTCTGCCCATGGCCGCGGCCATCCGCGGCCATCCGAAGCTACCGAAGACTACCTGGGAGCTACTCGAGGCTGTCCGAGACCATCAAAACGCCGGGGCACGTGGCAGTTGTCGGGACGAAGGGAAGCCCCCACCTTTCCCCAGGTTCCATGTCAGAGATGAGCACCAGCAGAGGAGCCCTCAAATCCGAGATGGACACGCATCACACGCGCCGAGAACAGAAGAGCAAACAACGGCATGCGCATCAGGTCTCGGAGGGCCGCGCGGACTTCTTGGGTCCAACGCCGACCCCAGAAATCCGAACAGAGCTGAGAATTTCTTAGTATGTCTAATTTTGCAACTTCTGCTCTTTGACAGAAGCACGGCGACGAGAAGTCTCGGCCCCCTCTTCGTGGTTCTCCTGGCCAGACTGATCCGTAAACGTCGGCGGCGGGAGGCAGAGAGGACCATGCCAAGACGCGGCCACGCTGGCAGCGGCGGTGACAGCGGCACCGAGAGCGACGGCGGCACCCGAGGGCCCAAGGATCGGAGCAGGGCGCGAACGCCAGTCTTAGGTCGGGCATGCCCCCCTACAGGCGGATATTGGACGAAAAAAACAAAGTACTCTAAAAATATGAAAACATAGTCAAAAATACCAGGAAAATCGCCCCCAGACGATGTTTTCACCATTCTTAAAGATTCCTCCTGTAGGGGGCCAGGCCCGCCTTAACGCCAGAGTTGCATCCTGTCTCCTTCCACGAAGCTCGGACCGGAGGGGAGGCCCACGGGCAACCAGGGAGCCCACAGCAAGCGTCCGCGCCCAGCCGTGCATGTGAACGCAGCCCCGTCGTCCGCGAGGCCAGCCGCTGCGCAGCCAAAACGTGACTGAGGAGGGAAAGAAACACACAGACACAATTAATCGTCGATTCCCCCCAAAATATGGGAAAATATGGGAAGTGGGGGGGAAGACGAAAACCCAGAAAATATGAAAAAATATGGAGATTCCTTTTATTTGTGTGTATTTATTTGTGTGTGCCAGGGCCCCTTTAGTGACCGCGTCCACTGCCGCGGTGCCGCCGCGGGCGGGCAGGCATCCACAGCCACCGCCCCCTCGATGTCTCGGGGCACGGCCCCGAAGCGGTGGCTGTGGCCATCTTCTGGCGGCGGAGCCTCGTGTTGGGCGCCCGAATTATCCGGGGTAACTCGGGTCCGGGGTAAGTCGGGTTCGGAATCCCGAAAAACCAACCCGAGTTAGCCCTGACCCGAAGTACCCCTGATGATTCGGGGCTCTGGACGCCCGAATTATCCGGGGTAACTCGGGTCCGGGGTAAGTCGGGTTCGGAATCCCGAAAAAACAACCCGAGTTAGCCGTGACCCGAGTTACCCCTGATGATTCGGGGCTCTGATCGTGCTGCAAACGTTCGCGCAATGCGTACGATTGACGCCCATGAGAACCCCTGTGCACGCACGCGTTTTTTTTTGGGTCCCGCTCTCGAGCTCCGACCGCCGCCGGCGATCCGCTGGCGGCGCGCAGAGGGGGGCATAGTGGCGGAGGGGGGCAGGCTCCTTAGAAGCGGGGGCTTCTTAGAAGGCGCTGGCCCTACATCTGCAGATGAGAACCACGCCTTCTGAGAATTGAGCAGGGACCGACCGTCCCGGCATTTTTATAGTCCTACCACGAGATGTTCTTAGAACCCGAAAAATGTTCTAAGAACGAAAACAAGGTTCGTAGAACATTAACCCGATGTGTTCAAACAAGACCGACTCCGCCAGAAATGTTCTAAGAACATTTCGTGGAAAGCACAAAAAGGGCTCTCAGAAAATTGCTTGGTAGGGCTATAGGCGAGCCAGGACGCTTCGCCACTGCTTGAGAGAAGCATTGGCGCTTTTAAGAAACCTTCCCCCCTCCCCCTAGGGAACCAGAAAAGAACCGGCACCACCCCACCTGCGGCCCCGCGGGCCTCAGCATACACCCTGCATTCCAGCTTGGGCCTGTGCGTTGCACGCTGCGGCCCCCGAGGGGCCAAATTAGCACAGGGCCGCAGGTGGGGTGGTGTCGATTGTTTTTTGGTCGACCTCCCCCCCCTTTCGAATAGGGGAACGACTACAGAATTGATTTGCCCCAGATCCGGTGTGCCCCGATCGAACCTACGACGAATGCGTAGAGGCTTTCCGTGCATCCACGGGGAATTCTGAATCTGTTCCGTAGATGCGACGAGACACTGAGCTCGGGGGCAACTGAACCACCTATGCAGCCGATCCCCTACAGTAGGGGCGTTGACCTAAGGAACCCTAAATAAGGAACGAGGCCTCTTTTTCCCAAAAAAATACTTCGATTTCCCATCAAAACCTGAAGCAGAACCAAAGGCGAACTGCAAAACAACTAAGGAACACCAAGCCCCTCCCCAACGAACAGGGTTCCTTCCTCAGTGCCCCGACTGTACTCGACCCCTCTGCGCGTGGCCGCGTCAGAGCGCGAGGTCGCCCCGAGCGGCCCCCTCCTCATGGCCATCGCTCGGACGTCCCATCCCTGTGCTTTTTGTCGGTTTCGTGCGCGGCTTTTTCTCGCCAAATAGGATCTCAAGGATAATCCTCGAGGGCCCTCGCCGAAGGAACAAAGGCACACGTCCGAGCCATGCCAATCCCCCCCCCTCTCGCCCGACCCGGTACTCGACCCTCCTGCGCGTGGCCGCGTCAGAGAGCGAGGTCGCCCTGCGCAGCCCCCTCCTCCGCGCACGCCCCGCGGGGCGCGTCCGCGAGGGGCGCGGGCGCCCCGCCTTGGACGGCGGCGGCCGCCGCGCCCGCGAGCGCGGGCGCCCGGGCGCCCCCGCGGCGCAGGCGGCGCAGCGTCGGCGCGGGCGGCGGGCCGGGCTTCCGGGCGGGCCGCCCAAAGGGGGGGGGCCCTCCTCCTCCTCCTCCTCCTCCTCCTCCTCCCTCCTCCTCCTCCTCCTCCTCCTCCTCCTCCTCCTCCTCCTCCTCCTCCTCCTCCCTCCTCCTCCTCCTCCTCCTCCTCCTCCTCCTCCTCCTCCTCCTCCTCCTCCTCCTCCTCCTCCTCCTCCTCCTCCTCCTCCTCCTCCTCCTCCTCCTCCTCCTCCTCCTCCTCCTCCTCCTCCTCCTCCTCCTCCTCCTCCTCCTCCTCCTCCTCCTCCTCCTCCTCCTCCTCCTCCTCCTCCTCCTCCTCCCTCCTCCTCCTCGGGCCGGGCTTCCGGTCGGGCCGGCCCAGAGGTGAGGGGCCCCCGGAGGCTGGCCATCGCTCGGGCGTCCATTCCCTGTGTGTTTGTGTTTCGGTCTCGGGCGTGGCCTTGTTGGCCAAAGGAGCACGCGTGCTCCTCGATGGTCCTCGCCGAAGGAAAAATATGCACACGTCCGAGCGGTGCCAAGGGAGGAGGGCGGGGGGCCCCCCAGGGTCGGGAGGAGGAGCCTGCAGGCGGAGCCCCCACCGCTCTGGGGCCACTCGTCCACGTGTGAGTTTTCAGGAGGATGACTACCTACCAGACCACCCCAACCCGAAGACCCGAATTTCGGGTTGGGGGGGGGTAAGGGTTCCACATGTGTGTTTTCGATGTTTCCCGACCCCCCCCCCCACTGGAAATCGAGGGTAAATCTGAGCCTTCGGGTTGGGTTGAGGGTGGTTTGGCGGGTGGTGAGAGGAGGGCGGGGGGCCCAGGGACGGGAGGAGGATCCTGCGAGCGGAGCCCCCACCGCTTCGAGGCCCCTCGTCCACGTGTGAGCTCAGCCCGTCGTGCCCCGCTCCCGGCCATTCTGGCCCTATCTCTTCGGCGGCGAGCCCCCGGGGGGGGGGGGGGGAGTGGCAAAGGGGGGGGGCCTTCCCAGAAGGCTCGGACGTATCCCAGCCTTCCGCGAAGGCACAAGGAACTCTCAAAAGGCTGGAGGGCTTCGCAGAAAGCCCGCAACCTTCTGAGAATAGAGACCTCCTAGATGAGGTCCGAGTAGATGGGGTCAAAGGATCGCGCGATGCATCGGCGATGCATCGGCGATGAATCGGCGATGCATCGGTGACGTCGGCATGGGGAAACACGCGCTCCACATCGAGCCGCATCGCCGATACATATAGGACTCCGACTCCGACTCCGACCCCATCTAGGAGGCCTAGAGAGAAGGCCTTCTCCTTCTCCCTTCCCCCCCCGCTCGCCGCCGATCTTGCCCAGGGCCCCCCCGTTGAGCCGCCCAGCAGGACGACGGTGTTGCCGTGCTCCAGGCCCCTCCTGCGGGGGGCGGCCGGTAAGGGGGCGCCCACCCTGACCTTCCAGGAGGGCTAAAAATCAGCACCGGGACCTCGATATCTTAATTTATGTCGAGGCTTTCTTTAGGCAGCCCAGATAGGTCTATAGGCCTGGAGGGCTATTCTTTATAGCACTCTGGAAGGTCAGGGCATGAGGGGAGGGGCGCAGCTCATGGCCGGCGGCACGTGCGCGGCCCCGGGGGGGGGGGCAGGGCAGCAACGAGATGAGACGAGGCGCCACGACGTCCGAGGAAACAGCATGGCCCACGCTATGATATAAACCCACCCGGAGGGGCTGCTCAAGGGGGAGGGACGCGGAGACGGGCGCGGAAAAGGAAGCCTTGCGAACGTTGCCGAGACGGGAGGGGAGACCCTCGAGCCTGGTCAGCTGTGCTCTCTGCCTGGGCACCCCTACTGGCCATCGCTCGGACGTCCATTTCCTGTGTTTTTTGCTGGTTTCGTGCGTGGTTTTTCGCCACATGAGCACGGATGCTCCTCGATCGCCCTCGCCGAGAAAAAATGCACACGTCCGAGCGATGCCAGGCCTACAGTCATCACCCCCCTCTTGGCCGCCCCCGCTCCTGAGCCCGATCTTCTCCGCGTGCCGCGTCCGCTTGCCGGCCACCCGGGGCGGCCGCAGGAGGCCTGGCTGCTCCGGCCGCTGGCACTGGCCCTCCTCGGCCTCGGGGGCGCCCGGCGGCCCCGGCGGACTCCCGCGCGGCCCTGGCGCGAGCTGCACCTCGTGGCCCAGGCGCTCGAGCAGCGAGTCCCCCGAGTCCTCCTCCCCGGAGGACGCCTCCGACTCGATCACGAAGCGCCGCCTCCGCCGGCGCTTCCGGCGCTGCGGCGCGGCCGGCGCCGAAGCGCCGGGCGCCTGCTCGGCCAGGCCCTCCGCGAGGGCGACGTCGCAGGGCACCGGGGGCGCGCTGTCCTTCAGGGAGCGAAGAACGGTATAAATGACACTTTTCCGCTGTCGGGGGCGCCTGTCCCTGGGCGGCTGGAAGGTTTATACCCCTACGGTGCCACCGTAAGGGTATATAAACTTTCCAGCCGCTCAGGGACAGGCGCCCCCGAGAGCGAAAAAACTTATTTTACACCGTTCTTCGCCCGTGAAGTCCTGGTACCTGACGGCCAGCTTGCCCACCTCGGCCAGCCGCTCCGCCACCTGCGTCCCGCTGCCGCACAGCGCGCCGCAGTCGCGGGCCTGCTCGGCGGCGGCCGCGAGGTCGACGAGCTGCCTCCTGCCGTCGTCGCCGCCCACCAGCAGGGCCCCCTGGCCCCCTGCCTGACTACCCACCAGACCACCCCAAGCGAACCCGAAGACCCCAGTGTCGGGTTTGAGGGAGGGGGGGGGGGTAAGTAGGGATTCCGCACGTGCTTTCTCGCTGTTCCCCCCCCACCCCCCCACTGGAAATCGAGGGTCGATTTGGGCCTGCGGGTTGGGTTCGGGGAGTGGTCCGGTGGGTGGTGGGCTGCCTCCACCAGGCGCTCCGCCCCCGGCGGCGCCGGGGCCGCGCGGGCGCCCCCGTCCGGGCCGCGGCCGCGGTCCGCCAGGCGCTGCACGAGGCGGCCCTGGCGGTCGAAGTGCAGGTTCCGGCAGGTGGCCTGCAGCCCCACCGACAGGGCACCCTCGGCGACCATCCGGTGCAGGATCGCCGGGCACTCTGGTGCAGGGGCCTCATGCGAACCCTATATCCCTATACCCCCCACGGTCTCTGAGGGGGAGGGTGGGGCTCACTCGGCTCGGCAGCTCCCAAAAGCGAAGTGAACCCCGCCCTCCCCCTCAGAAATCGTGGGGGGTAGGGTTGTGGATGCCACGACAATGGACACCCTAACAGTCCTATCATTGAACGTAAAATGTCTCTTTTTTTGAAAATGTAGGGAACATGTTCTAAACGTGTTCTGAAAACATGTTGTTGCATGCCTAACACATGTTGAACACATGCTTTAGACATCTGGGAATTACTTGGCAACATGCTTCCTCTCCATTGATCGTCCAAGGGCAGGGGTACAGGGCTCGCGTGTGGCCCCCCATCTGGGAAGACCCCGGCGCGCTCGCACTCCTCCCGCAGGCCCGCCAGCGCCTCCAGGGCCTCCGCGTCCACCGGGCAGGCGTGGCGCCCGGGGTGCTGCGCGTGGTAGAAGAGGTAGACCAGGAAGACCACGCCCACGCGCGCCTCGAGCCCGGCCTCCTCCAGCAGCACGGACCAGCAGACGCCGGCGACGAACTGGAAGAGGTCCCGGGCGAGCTCGCCGGGCACGCGCTCCACCGCCAGGGAGAGCCCCCGCGCTCGGAAGAGCTCCCGCATGGCGGCGAAGGCGCCGGCGCGCGCGGCCGGCCTCGCCGCCGGCTCCCCGCCGCTGCTGGAGCTGGCCGGCGGTGCGCCAGCGGGGCCGGGGGGCAGCGCGCACGCTGGCCTGTCGCCGGCGTGCTCGGCGGCGTCGCCTGGGGCGGTGTTCGGGCCCACGCGGAGGCGTTGTTCGCCCCGATCCCCCGACCGGTCCCAGACCCCCTCGAGTCATGAAAAAATCACAACGGCAGGTTTTTCCATGCTTTCTGCCTCTGGGTGCCTCTGCCGGGCCTCGGGGCCGTCAAAAAACGACTCAGGCTGAAAAACCGGTCCTGGGGAATGGGTCCAAACCTCTGGGGGTCGACGTCATGAAAAAATCACGACGTCGGGGGTCTGGGGGCGGTGGTTCGGGCCCACGCGGAGGCTTTCGCCCCCGCCGCCGACCGGTCGCGACTCGCAATTCGCTTCGAGTTCGAGGAGGAGATCGACGACAGAGCCGGTGTACTCCAGGCCTGTTTTCTCTCGCAGGAGAATCTACCAACAAATCTGTAGAATGCTCGTAGGTATACACGAATCCGACGTATTCGGCTCGTGAAGTCAACGCTATGTTCAAGTTTGGGGTACATCAACTCTGTAGTCGACCTCCTACTCGAACGGGGAGGTCTTCGTCCCCGCGACTGGTCGCGACTCGGAGAACTGGTCTGGCTGGCCCCCGGGGTCCGGCTGGACCGGTGTCGGGCGGATCTCGGTCCAGGGCAGGGCGAGTGGGGCGGCTTTCCAAGATGTACAGGGCCCAAACAGATACACCACCACCACCACCACCACCTGAGGAGAGGCAGAGGACGGTAGAGCAGGGAGGAGGAATCAACCTGGTGGTGGTATACTCTTGGGGCCCGCAGGATGGCAGAGGGCCTCTCAGAAGGGGGCGGCCCCCTCCAGACGCCTCGATCCGTGAACAGGATCACGGCAGAAAGTGTTCCCGAAGTTCGGCCTCTGGGGCCCTTGCTGGGCCTCGGAGCCGTCAGAGAACGACTCGGGCTGGACAGCCTGTCCTTGGGAGTGGGCCGACAGAGATCCGAAGTCGTGATTTTTTCAATGTTGGGTTCCCAGAATTCACAACCCATTCTCCAGGACCGGTTTTTCATCCTGAGTCGTTTTTTGACTGTCTGTGGGCCTAGCGAGGGCCCCCAGAGGCCGAAAATATGCAAAAACCTCCCGTCGTGTTTTTGTTCATGACTCGAGGGGTCTGCGTTTGAGACCTTTCCTCCCCGGAGGCCCCAGCTCGATGTATGCCCGAGTCGCCCGAGGGCCCGAGGGAGCTGCCCTGGCGCAGCTGCCGCTGGAACTCCTCCAGCGCCGCCGCGACGTCGGCCCGCACTGCCCGCCCGCGCCCAGGGGCCACCTTTGACAGGGCCCAGGGACAAACAAAGAAATACCACTCCCCCCCCCTTATCCCTCTCTTCCAATAATTCCCGGGGGGTCGACATTTGATCGTGTCTGAGTGATTTTCCCCTCCTGAACCTTGGCGGCGCGCGCGAGGGGGTACAGGCAAACCTGGGACTGAAGAGCACCCCTCAGGAACACATGGCCCTCCGCTGGCCAAAACGCACAGAACATCAAAGGGCATACCTTCCCCAGGGTGCGCAAGAGGACACCCCAAACCAACGCGAGAAACATGGAGCGACCGTCCTGGCATTCATTAGAGGCCTACAACGACATGTTCATAGAACCCCATCACGTTATGACAACAACAACCAGGTTCTTAGAGCACAAGCCCGATGTGTTAAAGCAAGACAGTCCCGGCCAGAAATCCTCTAAGAACATTCTGTGGGAACCACACAACAGGTTCTTAGAACATTGCTTGGCAGGCCCAAGGCACGCCGGGACGCTCCGCCACTGCCTGACTTACAGGGCACCCTCCCCGAGCCGAGCTCGATCTTAGAACCACCTCGGCCCGACAGCATCTGGGCGCCTGCTTCTCAGAAGGCGCCGGCCTCACGTCGACGCTTAGTGGGCCCTGGCAACGACAAGGCAGTTTTTTTACCGGTTCCGTGTTGCCGTTTTTTTGCCGGTTCCGACGCCGTTTTTTTACCGGTTCCGTCGCCGTTTTTTGACTGGTTCCAGTTCCGGTTCCAATCCTGGAGCCGTTTTTTAGCCGTTTCCGGTCGCCGTTTTTTTGCCGTTTCCATTTTCAAGGGACGTTGTTTTTGGAAACGGTGAAAAAAACGGCCCGGCCGTTTCCGGGGCCCACAAAGCGTCGAGGCCCGCGCCCTCTGAGAAGCAAGGTGCTTCGGAGAAGCCTTCCCCCCGTCCACCCCGGCCTCTGCTCGTGGCCGGCAGAGGCCGCCCTCGGACGGGATCGTCCGAGCGGGGCCGAGGGGGCCCCCGGGGCCCACAAAAAACACGACGCCCCCCGAAGGCCAGACCAACAAAAACACCCAAGGCCATCTCGGAGGTGGTGGTGGTGATGATGATGATGATGATGAGGATGATGAGGATGATGATGATGAGGATGCGAATGCTGAAGATTATGATGATGCCACGAATTACCAGATTCTGCCGTGTCACGAAATACCAAATAAGCAGCGCCAGAGAAATCGTCATCACCATCATCATCAGCAGCAGTAACATCAACATCAGCATCAGCATCATAATGATCATCAGCATGAGCATGAACATGACCATGATCATGGTCTGGATCATGATCTGGATCATGATCTGGATCATCCTCATCCTCATCCTCCTCCTCATCCTCCTCCTCATCCTCCTCATCCTCATCCTCATCCTCCTCCTCCTCATCCTCATCCTCATCCTCATCCTCATCCTCCTCATCCTCATCCTCCTCATCCTCATCCTCCTCATCCTAATCCTCCTCATCCTAATCCTCCTCATCCTCATCCTCATCGTCGTAATCATCATCCTCATCCTCATCCTCATCCTCATCCTCATCCTCGTAATCATCATCCTCATCCTCATCCTCATCCTCATCCTCATCCGCATCCTCATCCGTATCCGCATCCATCATCCATCATCCATCATCCATCATCCATCATCCATCATCCATCATCCATCATCCATCATCCATCATCCATCATCCATCATCCATCATCCATCATCATCATCATCATCATCATCATCATCATCATCATCATCATCATCATCATCATCATCATCATCATCATCATCATCATCATCATCATCATCATCATCGGACCACCTCAGACAACGGGGGTGGGACAACGGCGGCCCCCATCCGTGCACCAATCGGTCCCTGGACCCCCCTCCCGAGGCCCCAACGCGTCCGTCCTCCGAGCTGCGTCCGGCCGTCGCGTCGAGGGCCTCCCCCCCGAGGGGTCTAAAACAGCAACCTTTGCCTCAGCTGCGGGACCCAAACGGTACCGACACCGCGACTCCCTGGATCTCTCCCGGGCTGCGTCCTGACCAGAGCCTCCACGCGAAGCCATCCGTGGCCACGAGGGCCCTGGAGGAGGCCCGAACAGGGGAAAAGGGGGCGCGGGGTAGAGGTATGGGTATACGTCGTCCTCCTCTGAGCAGCCGGCCCCCCTCCGGCCAACTTCTTCGCCTGCCCCCCCCAAGAGATCGGAGGTCGCGATTTCTTCTCAATGCGCCCACCCCCCAGAAGTCTCGACCCATTCCCTGGGACCGGCTTTCCGTCCCAAGTCGTTCTTCGACGGCCCCACGGCCCGGCGAGGGCCCCCTGGAGGCCAACAACGGCGAAGAACCTCCGTCTTGCTTTTTTCCATGCTCGCCGAGCGCGTTCCACTACTCGCAGAGTGTGCCTACTCGCAAACGCCCGAGAAGCACCTGTCTGCTTGAATCAAGTGTATCGCAGATCCCCTGCAGGGGATCCAGGCCACTTGCGAGTATAGTTAGATCTGCGAGTAGTGGAACGCGCTCATCGACATGCGTCGGATCTCTGGGCCCGCGGCTGGCCACCGTCGCCGGCTCCAGGCCGGGCGCCTGCCTGCCGCCGCAGTGCAGCGCCGCCCGCGCGGCGCCGTCGGCGGCGAGGGGCCCGCCGCGGCGTGGGCCGGAGGGCCGGCGGTTCACGGAGGGTGCTGCTGGCGGCAAGGAAGGGGGCCCCTACGGTTAGGTCGGGCCTGTCTCCCTACAGGCGGATTGGGGAGGAAAAGTTTAAACATATCCCAAACGTGTTCAAAACATCTCCAGAAAAATAAGCAATGTTTCAAACTCGTCCCCAGACTATTTTTTGACTATTTTTGAGCATCCCCCCCACAGGATTCTAAGGTTCCTGAAGGATCGTCTCCGGGCTATTGTTTTTGAACGTTCCCCCTGTCGAGGGGCAGGCCCGGCTTGACCCTACGGTGAGGGCATTGGATTTGGGACAAGCTGGGTGCGGAAGGAATCGGCACGATGCCCAGCAACAGATGGTGTCCAAAACCAGCAGCGGCCGCTGTTGGGCAGGCGGCTTTTTGTCTTCAGTGGACAACGCCCGCGGAAGCGCGGACAGCGAGTCTTGTTCAAACTGAACAGGAACTTCTGTTGGGCATCGTGCCCATTGTTTCCGTACCCGTCTCGATCGCCCGGATGATCCTGAGATCATGGCGACTATATTTTTTCGAGCCAAACGTTTTCGCTCCGTTTCGGGCCCCGGGACCCTCCCAGATCGATTCGGCTCGAGAAGTGGCGCAGAACGATGTGGTCCATGGGGTCTGGTCGTTTTTTGTTTCAATATTGCACTTTCTTGCAGCATCGGATCTCAGGGGAGGAGCGCATGCATAAGGAATCCAGGCTCTGGAAGCCGGTGGAGCTCCAATCGTGGGTTGGCCAGGGAGGAGGAGGAGAAGGAGCAGGAGGAGGATGAGGAGAAGGAATAGCGGGAGGAGGCGGAGAAGGAGAAGGACTAGGAGGAGGCGGATGAGGAGACACAGGAAGAGGAGGAGGCGGAGGAGGAGGAGGACGAGGAGGAGGAGGAGGAGTGGTAAGAGGAGGAAGAGGAGAAGGGAAGAGGACAACATGTAGGAAGGGGAGAAGGAGGAGGAGGAGGAGAGGAGGAGGAGAGGAGGAGGATGAGGAGGAGGATAGGAGGAGGAGCAGGAATAGGAGGAGGAGGAGGAGGAGGGGGAGGAGGAGAAGGAATAGGAGGAGGAGGAGGAGGAGGAGGAGGAGGAGGAGGAGGAGGAGGAGGAGGAGGAGGAGGAGGGAAGAGGACGACATGGAGGAGGGGGAGCCGGAGGGAGGGAGGAGAAGCCCCCCTGGAGGCCTGAAGTCTCCTGGGCGCACTCCCGGGCCAGCGCCCCCACCGTAGCCCCGGGAGAGCGGCCCGAGGCTCAGCTCATCGGGGGGGAGAGGGGCCCTGTCCAGGAGAGGCCACGGGCCAAGTAACCAGCCTCGAACTTATCCCTATCCCTAAGATTGGCGAGCAAAAAGCGAGGACAATCTTAGGGATAGGCCCTCAGAAACTGAGGGAATCCTTAAGATCGGCATCGAGGTGAGGTGATGTCAAACATAGGGATAATTAGGGATATGTTTCAAACTGGTAGCCAAGCTGCCCAGATGGACTACCGACTACCGCTACTGCATCGACGGGGGCCCAGGTCGAGGGACAGCAAAGCCACCCCCACAATAAGCCTCCCCCCCCGACAAGCGAGGCCGCTTGGAAAGCGCACCCAGAGAAGGAATCGAACAGGGCAGGGCTGTTGAGTGAGCGCCAAAGTCCGTTCAATAAACGCCAGCTGTCGGGTCCGGGTGGTTTGTCTTCCCTTGACTCGTTCAGGCTGCGTCTTCTGCGTGCTATTCGGGAATGTGTGGTGCCCTCCGATTGTCGATGAGATGGGGCCCTGCGGGGTGAGGCCCTGTATACGCTCGGGGACTTTTGAATAGAGTGTTGCCACGACGGCCCGTAGTACAGGCCTCCTAGATAGGGTCGGGGCGGATGGGGTCGGAGGATCGCGCCGCATCGGTGATACATCGGCCACGCATCGACGATGCATTGGCGACGTCGACGTGAAGCAACTCGGGCCCTACATCGAGCCGCATCGGCGATGCGGCGCGATCCTCCGACCCCATCTATTCCGACCCTATCTAGAAGGCCTAGACCAAGGCGGCCCTAATCTTAGGTCGGGCATGTCCTCCTACAGGCGGAATTCGGACGACAAATGCAGCATCACCGAAACATACCCCAACGAACATTGCCAAACAAGGATCGAAACAAAGTCCCCAAACTGTTGACAGGTTCTTGAACTTTCCTCCTGTGGAGGGACACGCTCGACTTCACCCTACTCTTTGCTGTAGGGCTCCGTGCCTCCGAGCCCCACCCTTGAGCCGCCGAGAGGAGGCACGGCGCTCTGGCGCGGCGCCGGCAGACGGGCTGGAGGCCATGCCGCTCGCCTGGGGGCCAGGGGGCTCGGGCCGATGTCGCCACGGGCGGGTCGCCTCTGGGACTCGGCAGTGCGGTGGGAGGAGGGAGTTCCCTTTTGCTCCCACCCCCCGCCCTTTTACCCCTCCCTCCTCTTCCCTCCTCCCTCCTCCTCCTCCTCCTCCTCCTCCTCCTCCTCCTCCTCCTCCTCCTCCATCCTCCATCCTCCATCCTCCATCCTCCATCCTCCATCCTCCATCCTCCATCCTCCATCCTCCATCCTCCATCCTCCATTCTCCATCCTCCATCCTCCATCCTCCTCCTCCATCCTCCTCCTCAATCCTCCTTCTCCCTCCTCCTCCTCCTCCTTCTCCTCACTTCTCCTCCTCCTCCTCCTGGACGTCCTCCTTCTCCTCCTCCACCTCCTCCTCTTCCTCTTCCTCCTAATGCGCGCGCGGGAGCTAGCGCAGGAGGAAAAAGTGAAGGGGAGAACGAGGAGGCTGGAGAAGCAGCAGGGATGACAGCTTTCAGAGGGTCCACATGTCGCTGCTTCGTGTGATGCCGTACTGGGGTGTGTGATGCGACTACGTGGAGCACTCGGGGGGAACTCCGGGCCAGGCGGCAGACAGCCTGGCGGAACCGTCGGACAGGCGGAGGGGTAGAAACGGAGGACCGTGCCCCCCCGGCCCCTGGGCCGTCAACTGGAAGAACTAGCCCTCTCCGATAAGGGCAACGCTGCAATGCCTGAACGAGGCCCTACAATGGCAACTGTCGGCAAATCTCACAAGCACCCGTTAGTGAGTACCCGTTACGGTGCCGCTGGATGATGATGATCCAGACCACTGCGTCGCGAAACAAATAGCTACCGGCGCATCTTCCAGATTACGGGCCAGGGGGGGCGGATTTCTGGCATCCGGGCAGTCGAAAAGACAGAGAAGACGTTTCCGGAGAAGACGTTTCCGGAGACAGAGCTCAGGGCTGAGGAGCCCACAAACATAGGAAAGGAAGTCGCGACTTGCGAATCC